GCTGCCTCAGCCTGGGTGGGTGGCCTGGCCTCTCCGCTCCAGCACTCTAGCCGGCAACCCAACCTCGCAGGATGGCCCAGCGGCTGGAGGGAGCGCAGGGCCAACAGGAAGCGCTTCTAAAGCACCAGCGGCTGTGAACAATGGCACCTACTCAGTCTGCACACCATTCCCCAAAATACCCAAATCCAGGGAAGAAAATGCTAAGATCCCTGAGGTTTCACAAACGCCCTGGGCAGGTCCATGTCATGGAAAGGAAATGCGACCCCTTGGCTCTTTTCTGTCCCGTGTGCACGGAGCTGCCGGAGAAGCACCGCCCAGGTGACCGGCTGTCTGCCCTCCACCTGGGTCACAGCCCGGCAGCAGGGGTCAGCTCAGTGTGGAGCAGGCCAGAGGCAATCCACACGGAATACGGCGGGAGGAGAAGCGAACACAGCGCCCGTGCTGCCAACAGGGAGGACTGGGACTTTCGCTTCCGTGGCACACGAACACACGTGGGGCTGGGCTGAGGGCGTGTGCAGAATGACTCAGGCCTTGACGACGGTCAGAAGACATGCCGTGGGTCCCCCTCTGCCTCCTTGTCATGGAGTGGAGTCACCCGAAGCAGGAAGATACAGGGCGGGGCGGCTCCAACTTGTGGGGACAGAGAGAGCTGGAAAGTCCTTCAGACAGCATCCTGGGGGGAGCCCACCACGCCCACCTCCTCATCTGCACCTGAGGCCCCACCACCCAACCCGTGGTCTCCCAGGGGCCCTGAGGCAAAGCCTTCCCTAGGGAAGGAGCCTCGGGCCCACAATCGCCCACGGCTCCTGAGGGGCTGGCTGCCTCCAGGCAAAGACAAGGTGCCCGGGGCTCGGGGCTCCTTCCCCCACAGCAGCCCCAGAAAGCTTTCCAAAGCACTCCTGAGCCCCCAAGGAACGCCTTTCTCCCTGGGGTGACATTGCTGGGGCTGCCCACGGTCAGTCCCCTCTTCCTCACCGGAAAATCCCAAGCACAGGGCTGAGCTGGGATAAGGCAGGCATGGTGACCCTGAAGCCACCTCCTAGGTCGCGCGTCCCCGATCAGGATGCACACGGGGTTGCCGGGAAGAGAGGCCCCAGGAGCCAGTTCTGCCCCTGCCCCGCCCCCTCCCTGTCCTGCATCTTCGGCAGGGAGGGGGACGTGAGGGCCAGAGCTGAGGTACCACCTCAGGCGTGTGGCCAGGACGGCACACACAAAGCCGCCCAGAGCCAGGATGTCGGCGGCTCGTGGAGAAATGGCTGGAAGTGCCCTGTGTGCAGCCTGGTGTCCCAGGCGGCTACACACCGTTCCCGTTAAAGCCACGACAGGAGGGCTCTTGCTAGTCCCACCTCGCCGCCGCGTCCCCTGCCTCAAGCTGTCCGCGGGGCCTCCGATCCACAGCCAGCCGCGCTCTTCTCCAGCCAGCGGCCCGCACCTCCCGCAGTGGGCAGCCCCTTCCTTGGCGAAGCCTCCCTGCCCCCGACGAGCTGGGCCCTCTGGTGAGGCGGTCTCCACGGCAGTCCCCTCTGTAACCACCACCAGTCTGTGGGCCCCGTGGGGACAGGGAGTCGGCCTCAGGCACACCGTCCCCAGCCCCTCACCCACAGGAGCGGTGACAGGCAGAACTTGCCTCCGTGCCGCAGACGGCGTGTGGCTGACTCCAGGCACGGTGAGCAGTGCAGGGCACGGGCATCGCTCCCGGCGAGCCAGGACCTCACGCCCATCTCAAGAAGCTCATGCAGGGGGCTGTGGACAGGGATGGACGCAGGGACTAGGTGGAGGTCAGTGCAGGGTGGCAATCCAGGAGCCAGGGGGGCTCCATGGCCACATCCAGAAGGTACTTTGCGAGTGGACACTCGATGGGCCAGAAATCAGATTGGGGGGGGCCCCGGGGAGCCCCCACGGTCGGCTGGGCCATGAGGCTGCGACTCAGGGCTCTGACGGCACTTTCCACCTGCCATCTTCAGACCCTGGGCCAGGGGATGAGCCCACCTGCCTGCCTTCTCCCAGCCCCGCCCCGCTCTCGAGGGGGCCAGCACAGACCCCAGCCCCTGCCCTGCAGGCCAGAGCTACCACGGACATCAGGCTGGCGTCTCAGGGCGGGAGTCTGGCACCATCAGCCCACAGGAAGCCCCACCCCCAGGCGGGCAGCACCCCCCCGGGGCAGGCCCAGAACCATGGAATACACGGCCACTTAGAAGCATCCAGGCACAAGGCCTGCGAGCTGAGCGAAGGGGGGGGGTCAAAATGGCGTGGCCCCCAGCAGGGGGTGGCTGGAGCAGGGACGTCCAACAGATTCCCTTGGGGGAGAACAGGCTCAGGACAGCAGGCTGGACGAGGGGGAGGTGAGAACCCACCTGTACATCGTACAAGTTTTATAAGGAGGACGGGTTAACGGAGGACTCGTAGGATTAAACCTGACTTACTCCAAGGCAGATGTACATTTTGGAGAAAACTGGGGTTGTTAACTCAGACTGGGTGTTTTGTTGGGTGAGGTAAGCGTTTTGTAGCTGTCGTTCGTTTTTGCTCTTAAAGAGCCCGCACCTGCTGGAGGACCTACGGGTGCAAAGCAGGACATCTGGGATGTTCTTTAAACTCTCCAGGAGGGAGAAAAGGGTGCAAACAGAGAAATAAGACTGGCAAGGGATCTCTAAGCCTGAGGCTGAGTGCAGGCAAAGTCATGGCGTGACTGAGCTCGAATGTTCCCACAATATGCAGACTTTTAAATTAATTCTAAAAGGGCTAGAAGGCCAAGGACGTGCATCGGGGGAGGCAGGGGAAGGAGGCCCAGAGGGACACAGCGGGGCAGGGCGGGCACGGTCCCCCCACGGAGGGCAGCCGGGTCAGAGTGAGCACGGAGCCCCCACGACTCCGTGTCCTCCTTGGTAACCAGGCCGTCCCGGCCTGCCTGCAGGGAGCTTCTCCTTATGCTCCTCAGGGTGCTCTTACATTAACGCGTAGGGGGAGGCCAAGAGACTTTAAAAACCCTCCCCAACCATGGCGCAGGTCCCCGCGGCCCTCCTGGAGGACGACCGCGGGATGCCGGCCCCGGGGCCGAGACCCAGCGCCCGTCCGTGCGTGACGTTTGACCGGCCCGTGGCCACGCCCACTCGCTTCCATACTGGCTGGCTGCCTTCCCACTGCAACAGCACAGAGTCTGCAAAGCCAAAAGTCTCTCTCCTCTGGCCTCTACGGTAACAAACACATTTGCTGACTCCACGCCGGCGAAACACCCGGCACGAAAACACACCAAGAGCAGCATGAAAGCCAAGTCCAGGCTTTATTTCTCGGGTGCCCTACAGGAAAACCCCTGGAAAGAAGGGTCTCGGCGAGCAAGCCCCAGGCCCCGTGTGCTCAAAGGTGAGTTTTATTCAACCCAAATAATGCTTTATTAAACACAACAGGGTACCAATAGTGAAAGAGTGGAAGATTTCCCCTAAAAACCCAGATACTCAGCTTTCCCCCCACAACTGGCACACATCACACCCTCCTCTGTGGTCCTGCCACCCCGGCCCCGTGACGCCCACCCCGTCTACAGCTTCTCGCTTGAGACACCTGCGGACCACCCAGAAACAGGGCAGGGGGCCAGGACGCTGGAGAGCGAGGGGCCTGGGCCGTGAGGGTGGAGAGGACAGCCGGAGAGAAGTGGCGCCCAAAGGCACCCATGACCCTCTGGAGGAAGGAGGCATCACTCCTGAGCCACAGGAGCGGGGGAGAAGGAAGCCGGGGTCCAGGAGGGATACGGGATCAGCTGAGACCTGCCCAAGGCCACCTCACCTGGGTTCTCGTGACTGGCCATCTGCTGGTCCTCGGAATCCAGCGGCCCCGGAGACCAGGCCTCTTCCCGCAGCTCCATGTCTGGGTCCCTGTGAGAAGGGGAGGAGACGGAAGGACAGAGTTTACAGGATGCCAGACTAGACGGAGGGCCCCAGGACGGCAGGCACCACGTCGGCTCCAACCCGTGCTCGAGCTGCGAGCGCCCAGCTCAGCCCTGGCAGGCCGAAGGCGCACGCGGCAGGTACCTGAGGGGCACGGAGAAACGGCCCGCACCTCCCCCTGCACAGGAGACCAGCCCAAGGCCACGCACCACCTGGGGAAGACGACGCATCGGGGCTGCAGCGACCCGGCCAGGCTCGTGTCCCAGCTCCACCACTCGCCAGCTGGAGCCCGGGGGGAGACTCCAGCCCCCCGCCTCAGCCTCCCCGGGCGCCAGGCGGCGCCCAGATTGCTGCCAACACCGCACACACATCTGACGTGCGTGAGGCTGAAACAAGACGAAGCGGGTTGGCAGCTCTAGCCCCAGAGCCCGCCCCCGACGGGATAGTGAGGCCAGCCGACCCGGGCGCACAGGTCCTCTAAGGCGTTCACGCATTCAGGTCTCCGAGCAAGACCCCACCCTGGGGTCCGGGGGAAAGGAGCCGAGCCTCCAGGGTATCTGCACCCACAGGGGCAGCCAGACAACCCAGGCCTCTGGGGGGGGGCAGGCGGAGCACTTTCTGCGGCCTCTGTCCCTTTGGATTTGCCCCATCCGGAGGCCTCAGGAAATGGAACGCTGTGTCACCGGGCGTTCTGTGTGTCTCCTCTCACTCAGTGTAATGTTTTCAGGGCTCATCCGCACTGTAGCACGTGTCCGAGTTTCCTTCCTTTTCACGGCTGTACGACACTTCACTGTGTGGATGGACCACATTCTGTGTGTCGGTTCACCCGCCGACGCAGATGGCGTCTGGGCTGTTTGCACCTCGGGGCTGAGGAGTAAAGCCGCTACGAACGTCTGGGCGCACGTACCGTGTGGACATGTTTTCGTCTCACCACCGCCCATGCCACCCCATGCAACGGGCCGTGCTGGGGAGAAATCTCTCACCTCACTGGCCTCGAGGGTCAGTTCTCACCCACTCACCACCACCCTGCGGGCAAATGCCATTTGGCAGGGCCTGGCTCTTGGGGCAGACAGCCCAGGCCTCCCCCTACTGCCCCTTTGGGCCTCCACGCTGCCCTGAGGCGAGGAGCTGGGTGGGCAGGGGTCTCCCCTGTGTTTGGAGTTGGCGGGCAGCATAGGGAGACCTACGCAGGCCCCCGGCCCCCGGTGGGCTCGTCAGTCCTGCGCTGCACCAGGGCCTGGCACTGGGGGGACCCTTGCTGGCCCTGGCAGGAAGCCTGCAGGTGGGCAAGACTCCTGGTGAGCAGCTACGCAGCGTCCCACACACAATGGACTGAGACCAGGTGGGCAAGACTCCTGGTGAGCAGCTACGCAGCGTCCCACACACAATGGACTGAGACCTGGCCCCTGAAGCTGAGTGCACGCAGCTCCGAGCAAACCTCCAGAGTCCTGCATCCCCCATCCCACACGGGGACCTCACTGCAGGTGAGCACCTGCAGACGAGCACCTGCCAACGGCAAGCATCTGCCCGCGGCACAATATGCCAGGCCCACGTCTCTTGAATCCCCCACTGACAGGGAGCTCACTACCACCCAGGCACCAAAGGGAACCCATTCCACTGCTGGGGGAGCGTGAACCCGCCCCTCAGTAACCTCCACTGACCTCTGAGAGGAACTCTGAGAACCTGCCTGTCCAGTTAATAAACACTCACAGACACAGTGAGCCGTTCCCTCTGCCAACACATTTGCCAGGTCCAGGCCCCGTTCTACGCAGTTTAGACGCCGTTAACACATTTGGTTGCACCACAGCCCTCTGAGCAGACAACACTGTCGCCCGTCACGCAGATGTGCAAACTGAGCCATTAAGTGGCTGAGATCTGAAGGCAGACGGCACGCAGAGAACTGCGAACGCGGGTCATGCGGGCCGGGTCCTTGGGACCGGAGACGTGGCAGTGACCAGGCAGACAAATGCTCACTCACGCAGCAGCGTCCCGCGTGCCTCCCACGAGCCAAACCTGGACGCCGGGGTCCCATTTTCCAGCCGCCGTCCCGGCTCCGCATACCCTCCACTGACGTGCTGTGAACGACCACCACCCCCACGTCACAGCAGAGGACATGAGATCACAGTGAGGTCATCGAGGAGCAGGGACAGGACGCCAACGGGGTTGCTGCGGAGTCCTTGGTCCCAACTGCCCTGCCATCCTGACACCCAACCGTCAACAAGGACCTAAAAGCACGGGGCCAACCAAAGACAAAGCCAGGCCTGTCTGGGGGGCCAGGAGGCCACGCTGGGGGACACCGAACAGGGGATGGGCGGGAGGCGGGGGCCTGGCAGGAAGACTGCAGGTGGCCCCTGGGTGGAGCCTGCAGCCAAGGCCCAGGCCTCCTCACGGCAGGCCCTGCCACTGACCGCGACAGGGAGCTACCGCGGGGTCGGGCCAGGTCGGCAGGACACACACAGGGGTGCCCTGGGCAGGTTCCCGCTCCCGCGCATCATCACGGCACCCACCGCTTGACACGGCAGCACCTGCCCGGCCCGTCACGGGCTCCCCTCCACACGGGGCCCTTCTCCGACGGGCTCTTCATGTCGGCCTGATGAGAAGACAAGGCGGGAGCGCCGTGTGCAGGATGGCATGATCCTTTCCTCCGCACTGGTCCCCATCACCCCCACCCCACAGGCGTGGGGGTCTCCCCAAGGGCCGTTGCTCAACCCTGGAGAATGTGGTGTGGTGAAGAGGCCACAGCCCCAGTCTCGTGACAGAGCCCTGCCAGTGAGGAGCAAGCATCTGAACGAAAAAGGCCATTTCAGACGATGAAGTTCAAGGAAGATGTGCAGGGAGAGGAAGGAAGAGGAGGGGAGGGGAGGGCAGCTGCACCAGGAGGTCAGTGGAGGATCTCCCAGAGGGAAGAGCCACAGGGGCAGGTCTGCACGAGAAGCGTGGAGGGGGAGGGATGCAGGGACAGCAGGTGCAAAGGCCCTGCGGAGAGGCTAGAGATGCAGGGGTGGGAGGGTACTCTCGCAGGGCTTCGAAGGCCAGACGGGATTGAGGAGTTGTGTGAAATGTGGTGATCCCTCTGGGGTGGGCGCCACTGCGACGCGTGTTTTACAGACGAGGACACTGGGGCTCCCAGACGTAGGTGGGGCCGGTCCTGGAGCTCGCCTGCAGCAACAGCAAGGAGCATCTGGACGCAGCAGCGAGGGTGGGCAGCCAGGATGCACTGGCACAGTGCCGGGCTCGGGGCCACAGGGACTCCCAGGATCCGGGAGGGCGCGGAGCATTCTTCCTCCCCATCTGCCCGAGGCATCACCCCCCAGAGGCCTCCCAGCCCCCGATCTGCCCTCCCCTGGGCCCCACAGGGTGCCCAGCACCCACACCGGCGCCAGGCGCCCTCAGGGGCTGAGAACAGGCACGTGCCGCACCCACGAAGGGGTCTGAACAGAATGGAGGCTCGAGAGACAAATGCATGCAACTCTGTCCCCCTTGGCCGGCCCACCCTCTGGGACCCCACAGGAAGGCCAGCAAGCCCCCAGCTGAGAGCTGGTGCCACACATAGTTCGGGGGGAGCCTGACAGTCCGGGCCACACGGCTGCAAAGCCGCAAACAGGCGCTGGGAGCCCCTGGCCAGGCAACCAACCCCCTTCTCCTGGGGCTAATCTGAGGGGAAACCCAAACCTCAGAAAATGCTTCCTGCAGGGAAAAAAAAACTTCATCACAGCCAGATTTAGAGCAGGAAAGAAACTGGAAAGAACCCGTCAGCACCATGTGGGAGAAAGCCCAAGAAAATCCCACAGATGCCACAGCCCCAGAAACGACAGCTGATGGCAGGGAGAATGTGTCTAACTTTTTTCTTTTTATCTTCATTTTCTCAACTTTTCCATTTTTTTAGAATGAGTAGTTACTTCTGCCATAAGGGAAAAAGACGAGACGATTCTTTTTTGGATGTCCATAGGATTATGCATGGCGATGGGAAAATCGCCGGGGGCTGAGGGGGCACCGTGGGGACGCACAGCCCTCGGGTCACACCAGGTAACCATGCGGCCACAGAAACCCTTGCGCACGGCTGCTGGGCATGCAGACGGTGCGGCCACCGTGGCAAACAAGTCTGGCAGCTCTTCACATGATAAACAGACTTAGCTTGTGACCCCGTGACTCCACCCCTAGGTATACACCCGAGAGACATACAACCCGCGTCCACACGCAGACTCGCACGCGAATGTTCCGGCCGTGCCTGTCAGAGCGCAAACACCAGGGGAGAAGCCAGTCACAAAGGGCCGCAGAGAGTGGACTCCATCTCTCGGAAACGTCCGGAAACGTCCAGAAACCTCCAGAACAGAGACGGTGGCTGCCAGGGGATGGGGGCGGGGAGGGAGAGGGGCTGCTAATGGGTGCAGGGCTTTTTGGGGAGTGATGAGAATACTGTGGAACCAGATGGTGGTGATGATTGCACAACGTCGTGAATATATTAAAAATCACTAAACTGTACATGTTCAAAGAGTGGATCTCACGACATGCAAATTAGATCTCAACTAAAAAGTAAACAGACTTTAAAAAATCGTATGGGGCCCGCTGATTACAAGGCCACAAACACTGAAAATGAGGTAAGAGGAGAGCATCTCTCCACTTGCTAGATGAAACATTTCCCCATTCGTGGACCACTTAATAGAGCCAATTACATCTTCCAGGAAAACAAGGGGTGCCTGGCTGGCTCAGTCGTTAAGCGTCTGCCTTCGGCTCAGGTCGTGATCCCAGGGTCCTGGGATCGAGCCCCATGTCGGGCTCCCTGCTCAGCGGGGAGCCTGCTTCTCCCTCTGCCGCTCCCCACCTCATGCACCCTTCCCCCAAATAAATAAAACTTTGAAGAAAAGAAAAAGAAAGAAAAACGAGGTAAGAAAAAGGAAAGACACAGTCAGTGCTCACAGGGCTGGGGGCAGCAGGGCTGAGGCAGTGGGCCGGGACAGCCGGCCCCTCTGCCCTCCTGTGTGTGTGGAAACTTGTTTGCTAAGTGGGTGTGCTGTGCTTCCCCTGAACATTAACGTGTAAGTCACTGAGCAGGGACTTCCCAGACCTGAGTTTCCACCTCAGGCCC